CGTGTAGGCCCAGGCATCCATTATCTGAAAGATAACTGTACAACATTCCTTCCACAAGGTGGAAACTGTGTTCCATGGATGGAGGTTATGGGTGCTGGTGGCAGGACCTTTTCAAGAGAGGAGACTGCAGTTTTGTAATTCATTCTCTTCACAAGTATGGGTAACCATAATCTCATCACATCTGAAAGACTTCAGGACATACTTTTTGTCTAGGCATTGCTAACAGATTAGTAGTACATACAGTGGGCTTCACTCTTTGTTGTTATATCTGTGGATCTTAATGGAATATGCTATCTTCTCGTTTGGAAAGCAAAGGTCTAATTCTGCTCCTATTGAAGTCAATGGAAAGCTTTTGTTAATTTTAGTGGCATGTGAAGGCATTTTGTTTGGCACGTGCGCTGTGGGGAGGACAGCAGGGGAGCCATGAGGGGCCCAATCCTAGTTGTGGCAGTGCAGCCCCAACCCTTTTCCCACAGTCCCCCTCAAGGCGTGCATGCACCCACCACTGGCAATGAGCCAGGCTGCGGCTTCATGGACACTGGTGCAGCTGCTTACAGCTTCCCTATTGCCTGCTGCAAGCAGCCCAGGCTCCTGGTGGCCATGCATGCCTTGGGGCAGGCAGTGGGGAAGGGACAGGGGCTTTGCTTCCACAACAAGGATCGGGCCCCTCTGGCTCTCCCATTGTCTGCCCCTAGCACACCAACATGTTCCAAGTCAAGGTTGCGGGCGTTTTTGGCACCCTGCTCAAAAACATTGATGACCCCCGTTTTAAGTGCTCAAATTTAAGATATGGAAGCATGTCTAGATACCATAGTGATGCTGGACAGAATAATATAGACAACAAATCCTTCCATATATGAATCACAGATGAAAAATATGAAATGGACTTTCCAGGAAAAAAATAAACCAAAGATATTTTGGGTTTAGCAACTACAAAAAGGTTCTCTTTAAACTTGAAAGGCAGTTGATATTGCCTCAGACTCATTCTCTTATCCTGGTATTTATGGTGAATATCTAGTCTTTTTCTTTCAATTGGTAATGAACAGAGGGCTGGAAGGAGTGGGCCAATGTCTGCCATTAGGCGTGGGCCAGTTTCTGGAATGTATAGTTATATTGTGTAGTCTTGCTGTAATTAAGGGGATTTCCACTGGAGCAAAATATTACTTAATCTATATTTATCAGAATCTGTAATTTCATAAATAATTTACACAATTTTAATGGGGAAAAATGTGCTCTCTTGCTTAGGACAGACATGTAATTTAGGATGGACATAAACTTTGGGATGTGTATACAGATTATCTGAATTTCTTGTATGATTGTACAGTTAGAACACATTTTCTTAGTATTACTTGTAGCGAGGGATGTTAATTTAGTTTATAAATATGTTTTTCCTTCCCCCTTCTTAATTCCAGTCTTCTTCAGCAATGGGAAACTCTGATTACAAATAGGATTCCTGCAGATGTTTTCTTCAAAAGTCTTTTTAAATACTTGCTTTGAAAAGGTGCAAGTTTCAGTATTTTTCTTTGTTGCTGTGAGGATTGTACTAATAAAGAATTTCCCAGTGGAACAATAAACTTGCTGCTGCCCTTGTCCTACCACCATATCACAGCAGACCTCTCTTTCTGCCTGATCACTCCCCCCTATGGTTTTTTTGTTTGCAGTATAACTCATTACATCTTCCTTTCCATAACTATAAAGACAGATGTAGAAAACCAAGGAAACACTTGGCACTTTCTAAATCTGAAGATAGAACAAAATAACTTGACAAGAAAGTTGAGTATATGGTGAAAAAAAAAAATTAATTGATGTAAAAGTTACTTAGGGCATTCACAGTAATCCATACTGCAGCAGCATTGTTTTGCTAGAATTTTTTTAAGTTGCTGGGGGAGCTGCTTTCCTGTCTAGTGTCATTAAACAATGACCTGTGTTTAGTCAGAATATCTCATTTGCATTTAATTACTAGAACATCAGCACCATTTGAATCCTTTGAACTTGATCTCTATTTAGAACCTGAAGAGTTATGGCACATGTTTTAATAATTTGTAGTTCTGCGAATATATTTTCTTCATTTGAAAGAATGTGGAAGCAGGACCGCTCCGCAACACATTATATAGCTCCAACAGTTATCTCAAAAAGATATGTATGTTTGTGTATTCACTCCCTTTCACAGACAGTTATATAAACCTTAGCTTCTTGAAGATGAGAACAGCTATGGTAGAGGATGCTTTTGATTTTGAAATGAACCAGAAAATGTATTTTTCTAAGGCTTCTGGTAATTTATTGAGATTTATTAGCTCAACCAGCAGTTTAAATTAGAACTGATGGAAGCTGAGATTTATAATAGAAAACTTACCGCCGTGGTTTGAAATGGTGCCTAATACTGGATTATAACACTCTCAGTTATTGCCTACTGGAAGTCACTTTTTCAATCCAATAGATGATACTTATTTCTAATAATCTGAACATTCACTGTAACATATCCATTCATTACATAACCTTTAAAAACGTATTTCATCTGAACTGTGTTGCTGCTTCACTTTCTCTTTACTGAGGCTTTTCTATTTTAGTTCAGTGGGTCATGTGACCTGCTCAGCCAATAAGGGAACTTCAGAAGTAATGGCAACAGTCTTCTTGGATAAATGTAAGTGAAAATAGTTCTTAGGGTTTTCTTTTTTCCACTTTCTGTTCCTCATGCTCACTTTTAAATGTTGTTTTTACTCAAAACATTGCTGGGAATGCCTCATGGTGCCCATGGGGATACTTAAACATTTTTTTAAAAACTTTTTTTCTAACGTTACTTTTTTTTACTATGTTCCTGTTTTCCTGTGTCCTGCAATGTGGTTGAAAAGCCTAAAAAAGCAACAGAAAACAGAGGAAATGTGTTCCAAATGTTGCTTTGTGTATGTTACAAGTTTCCAATGATTGTTTCCAATACAATATTATTTTCTTTTAAATGTTCTGTAGCATGAGTTGCAGCCATGCTAACATTTCAGTCCAAGTCATGTGAAGCTCAGCCAGAATTGAACAGATAGGAGAACAATAGTAAATAAAATTATTTTAAATCACATGACCTTATTTCAACCAATTGGATTATATTTAACAATTAAGGGTTTAATAAATTCAGTTCAAGGAAGTGGCATATATGAAGAAATGAAGAAGCTTTGGAGTGGAATTCAGATAATTTTTATCAGTGGCAAACAGTAGATGGCCCTCCTTTCTGAGTGGAAACACTGTATTTTGATCTCTGCAAATCCTAAAAAATTATTTACAGAATAAGACATTTAAATAATATGTTAAGTCAGATTTTTTTCCTCTTTTCTTTTTTACAGCTATGGGTCCATTCTCAATTCAAGGTGAGAGTCTTATTCTAAGCATCTCCTTTTCCATTACTAGGATATTTGTGACCAGAGTCCTAAATCAATAAGCAAAGATTATCTTGTAATTGTTCTTGAACCTTCTGTATAGGAGACCTTTTTATTTGCAATATTATGTTTGTTTTTTCCTGGGATGCTGTTTGCTTTCCAGGAGAACATGTATGGAAATTCTCCTTGAATACTTCATTTTTCTTCAGGGCACAAATACCGCTTTTGGTGTTTACAGGTCACCTTTATATACCTATTTTTGGGCCATAGATTCTGGGTTTGTATGATGCAAGAGTTTTGGTGTTTTGTATGGAAAATGAGCTTTGTAGTAAAAGCCTGATCCAAAGGCCTATGAAGTCCATTGAATTGTTTCTTTTGATGTTAGTGGCCTTCAGACTAGGCTCCATGTTTCAGCCCTTTTATGTGTCAGAATCATCATCATAGTTTGTGACTTTGCTTTTATGTGTATATCTAACCTCATCATGAGGTGCAGTTCATGTCCTTACAGCTAAACAATATCATAGAAGAAAGGGCTATAGGCAGAAGTATCTCTACGGAGTCTCTCTGCATCGATAAATCAATAGGCCTCTGTAGATACACATTCTGTTTAGTTATACATTCAAAACAATTTTTAAGTGCTTAATTTTGGAATTTATTCCATTTTTTTTTTTTTTTACTGGTTGGTGATATAAATTCACATCACGTAAAAGAAATGGGAGACCAGAATTTTCATAAGGAAAATTATTCATGAGGAATGTTGCATTTTTATTCCGATTCTTTCCTTCATTGTAAGTATGAAACAGAGGCTTGTGCTTAGATATGTGTTGTATGAAATGTTCAGATTTAGATATTCCCCCCTGCGGTGTAGGAAACCCAACCATGTGCTGGCATATGATTCAGAAACCGAAACCTATTGGAAACAGAAGGCCATTTTCATTTCTCAAGCTGGGTGAAATTCAAGAAGCAAGTAGATATACTAATAATTTTGTTATGATATCAGGAGCAGTGGTATTTGCTGATAAATACTTTGCATCAAAACTGCATGGGCAGGGGAAGGGAATGCATTCATTTTTTCCAGTTGAATAAATGTGATTGTTCATAAAATTGTAAAGAGTATCAATTTTATTTGACAAAACAAAACATTTTCTTCAAGATTATGAACCATTTCTGCATGATATCAAGTACTCTTAACTCCCACTGGCTTCAATACAAATTAAGAATTATAAGTTCTGTTCACCTCCACGCAAGACTGAGCCCTAAGCTGGTAATATAGCCAGAATTTTGAGACATCCTATCAACAGCTGCAAAATGCCTGTTATTATTTTTCACAGTGACACACGAACATCTTTCCCAACTTTAAGAAAGATATAGATTTCCTATAAAACATTAATATGCAGCATGTAAAAAACAAAGTGTAATTAAACTAATGGACCTCCATTGTCACCCTTATCAAGCTTTTGGCTTACTCTTCTTTCTTCTCACTCCCTTACTGCTTAACTTTTCTTCCTTTACTTATACTTTTATTTTAATCCCGAAAGATTAGACCATGCTATTAAATGACTTGGAGTCAGATGACATGTGCATGAATCTTAAACTATATTCCTTTCTCTCTCTGTGCATGAATCTTAAACTATATTCCTTTCTCTCTCTCCCCCTCGCTCTCTCTCTCTTTTTGCTCTCATCCAGCTTTATGCTGATCAAGTGTCACTCATCTGGAGCAACAGTCAAGTATGAGTCCCTAGTTAAATTCTCTTGTTCAACACAGGTGAAGTGTCACTTATAAGCAGCGTAACAAGCAGCGAGTGAGATTTCCCTTTCACCTCTTCCTGTTGGCTTCTAGAGGTAGCTTTTGCCTAGGCTGCAGAATGTTTTATTCATCCTCTTCCTGGTGCTGTCTAATTCCCTTGCCTCTCTCTGGATGCATCTACATGTGCGCTTTACTGTGGAGCAGACTGATTAGCTGTGCAATAAAGAGTCACTGTCTACATGTGCAGTGGTATTAGGTCACAATAAACTAATTATCTCGACCATTAGATAGTACTGTCATTGACATTACTATCTTATGGCAGAATAATTAACTGTGATTAAATACAGCCATAACCTCCCAGCCAGCTTCTCCATTGCCTGACGTCACCACCCAGAGCCTGGGGCTGACCCCTGTGCCCCCTTCCAGCCCAGGCCTGCTCTGCCTCTGCTCAAATTGCTGCTGTCCCAGACACACATGTAAACACTGTGCCCAAGAGCAGTTTACTCTAGCTGAAACTGCTCCAGATTTTATTGCTTCACATTAATTGCATGTGTAGATGCACCCTCTGTCACTCAGTTTAGTCTATAGAAGCAGACAGCAGGGAGGAATGGATGACCGGTATTGCAGCTTCCCGGTACTGTAGTAATACATTTCACCTTTTGGAGACAAGTACAGAGTGATGGAGACAGGACCAGAGAGAATATGAAGAAATTTAG